CCTTCTGTACTGTTTGTGCAGCACAGGGTACAACACATTCCTGATCTATGACGAGGTTTCCAAACTCCATAGTAAAATGAATAATAATGATAGTAAATGTTGTATAACTTTTCTTTTTTTTTTTTTTTTTTTTTTTAAATACACCAACCTTTGTATTACTTCAGTGCTGGATTTTCCAGTTATTGTACGTAGGGGGGGGAAAAGATTTTTTGAAAAAACAAGAAATAACAATGAATTGGGAAAAAAAAAATTAAAAAAAACCCCAAACAAATTCAGGGTTTTTAAGAAAAGAAAAATCAGTGCTGGGTGCCACTGCAGAGAGAGTCGAGCTGGACAGAATTAAACATCTCAGCTGGAGCGTGGACAGGGCAGCAGACAGCTTGCTAAAAATAGATTAATCCCAATTACAGCCACACTTCTGCTTTCCCCAGTTCCCTGTTCCCCGTGTGCGCAGCGGGCGGTGAGTGGAGAGGGGCTCGGTGCCCAGCGGGCACTCGGTGCCCGTGCTTGCATAACCCGGGGGCTCAGAGGGTGGCAGTGGCAGTGACAGTGGCAGTGGCAGTGGCAGTGACAGTGACAGTGGCAGCAGTGTCCTCTCCTGCTGGCCTTGGCTGCTGCTCCAGCTGCCCAGCACGGCTTAGCTCTGTTCCCTGCTGCAAATCTGCTCTGCTGCTGACCCGAACTCTGATAGGGACCCAAACTCTGATAGTGACCCAAACCCTGATAGTGACCCAAACTGTGATAGTGACCCAAACTCTGATAGGACCCAAACCCTGATAGTGACCCAAACTCTGATAGTGACCCGAACTCTGATAATGACCCAAACTCTGATAGTGACCCAAACTCTGATAGTGACCCAAACTCTGATAGTGACCCGAACCCTGATAGAGACCCGAACTCTGATAGTGACCCAAACTCTGATAGTGACCCAAACTCTGATAGTGACCCAAACTCTGATAGTGACCCCAACTCTGATAGTGACCCAAACTCTGATAGTGACCTGAACTCTGCTGCTGACCCAGTGCAGAGTGGTTGGTACCCGTGGGCTGCTGGGCAGAAATTCCCCTGCTCAGCCCTGTTTGCTTCCCCAAGAGAAGCCCCACGGAGCCAATCTCCTGGAGCCCAGCTGATGCCAGGGCAGAGTTTCTGCCTGTCCCACAGCCCTGGCTGTCCCTCCTGCTGTCGCTGCACCCTGGGTACACAAAAACCTCCCACTAAAAGTTCCGCCAGCCTTGTAATGTAACAAAGCAACATTTTCCCATTGGGAAATGAACAAACAGGGGGGAAAAATAAACTGTTGGGGCATTCCTGAGCAGCTGGTTCAGCTTGGCAGCGTGGCCAGGAGCATCCCTGACCCTGTGCCCGCTGCTGCCGGGATCACCTCGGCAGGGTGAGCATCTCCTGGCTGGGAGGGCACATCCCTGCCTGTGTGTGCTCTGCCTGGAGCTGCTGCTTTTGCTTTTTCCCCCAATCTCAGCAGGGATTGGGAAATGCACCGTGATTCATCCCAGCGCTGCAGCCCCGCTCCCAGCCCGGCTCAGCACCCACGGGTGCTCGGAGCCGCCAGACGCGCCCGGAGCGGCTCCGGCTGCCAGGGGAACGCCCAGAGCCAGAGCTCGCTGCCACGAAATGGAGGGAAAAAAAATCCTGAAGTGCTTTTTATTACCGAAAATTATCATATTTGGGATTATCACATTCATCAGGCTGGCTGGCGCTGGCCGGGCTGCTCTGCTGCTCCTGCTGGGGTTGGTGCTGGCAGCGCTGCCGGAGCTTCTCCCTGCCTCTTGTCTCAGCCTGGAAACTGGGATTGGAAATTATTTTGGCCGGGGATAAACTGGCCTAAATAATTTGCTTGTGCAGCGCTGAGCCACAGTGGCCTCTGGGTCTCAGCTGAGCCTTCTGGAGGCTTCTAAAAATAAGGAGTTCTAAGCTATTATCTTTAAAAATACTTGGAAAAAACAGGGGGCAAGATGAGGATCCTTTCACAGCTGTTTTGGCCTCAAACTGCCAAGATTTTTTTAAAAATGTGTTTTCTTGATCAGTTCTCTCCATAACCTTTCATAAAAAAAAGGTTCACAAATTTAGGACAGGTGTTTTGTACTTCCATAGAAAAACTCATTTGAAAACCACCAGTAACTTCTAAAATCCAAGTTACCAGTACCTCAAGCTGGCTGGGAATGCTGCAGCAGGGAGACCCAGGTAGGAAAATACTGGGAAATGCTCCATTGCAGCTTAAAGGCAGAAATTTCTTTCCCAGAGTACCAAGGTTATTCCTGCAGCACAAAAACCAAAAACTGACTTCTGGAAATCCATGGAAGTGTCCAAGGCCAGGTTGGATGAGGCTTGGAGCAACCTGGGATAGTGGAAGGAGTCCCTGTCCATGGCAGGGGGTGGAACAAGGTGAGTTTTAAGGTCCCTTTGATGGCCCCCAACCCAAACCTTTCTCTAAATCCTTTTCACAGACACAAGGCAGGGAAATCCATCCCGCTGGCGTTGGGAGGGGATGCTCAGAATGCTCCGGGGAGGTTCCCAGGCTGGAGCTGCAGTCATTCCACAACTGGAGAGGATGGCAGCGAGGGAACCACCAGAGCCAGCACAGCTCAGGGGGAGGAAAGGCAGAAGTCGTGGGCTGGAGACCACACAGGTTCATTTGGGAAGGACCTGCTGCCTCCTAATAACCTGAAACAAACCCACCCAGTGCCCATCTCCATGGAAACTCCTTCCTTCAAAGCACTTCCAATGCAATTTACTCCATGTTCCTGAATTCTCTGCTGGTTTGGAGCAGCCCTCAAGGCTGGAGGGCTGGACCACAGGAGAGAAAGCAGCTCTGCCTCTGGCAGCAGGGGACAGGCAGAGCTTCTGTCCCCTCCCAGGAGACACCTGTGGTACCCTCACTGTGAGGGTGCAGGAAAGGAGCAGCAGCCTTTGGTGTTCCCTGTGCTCCCTGGGCAGGGCTGGCAGAGCTCAGAGGAGCCACCCGGGGTGAGGGCACCCTATAAACCCTGCCCCAGCCTCCAGAGCCCTGCTGGGGCACACAGCTATCCCAAACCAAATATTGATTAATGGACCTTGAGCCCAGCACAGGACATGACTTTAGGGACTGGGAACGGGGGTGAGGGCACCCTATAAACCCTGCCCCAGCTCCAGAGCCCTGCTGGGGCAGAACTATCCCAAATCCAAATATTCATTAATGGACCTCCAGCCCAGCACAGGACATGAGTTTAGGGACTGGGAACGGGTGAGAATCCTTCTGTCAGCCGGGCCCTGTGTGAGAGCGAGCGGAGGAAACCTAAGCCGTGAAATATTAAAGTTCCAAAATTAAACCTTGTTTACGTAACGACTGGGTCAGTGCTGCTGTGGAACACGGGAGTTTGAACCAAAAAAGGCCCTTTGCAGCAGGCCCTGCCCTGGAGCTCTCTGCCAGGCCTGTCCCCACGTCCTGGGCAGGGGCAGGACCTGGTCCCTGGGAGCTGCTCTGGGGCTGAGCCCAGCTCCTGCTGCAGCTCCTGCTGCAGCTCCTGCTGCATCTCCTGCTGCACCTCCTGCTGCACCTCCTGCTGCTCCTTTCCACCTGCCAGGGCTGCCAGTCCTGGTGCCCTTCCCAAAGCTGCCTTTGCCCGGAGTGCCCTTCCCCCTGTCCTCCTCCATGGAACACAATCCCCCAGCTGGATTTGGTGGCTTTAACCCACGCTGAAAACTCCACCTGGGGCTGTCCCTGCAGAGGCAGGAGCAGGAGCTGATGCTCCCGTGGGTCCCTTGCAGCTCAGGACATTCCACGATTCAATGGTTTTTTTTCTCTTTGAAATAAGGGATAAAACTGTCTGCAGCCTCTACAGAAAACAGTGAAATGTCCTTGCTGCTTCAACCTGGCTAATTATGAATATAACAACACAGCAGACTAAAAATAAAGAAATTTAAATGCAAAATAATAAAAAAAAACTTTATGGAGCTTCCCCCCTGCAGTGTCTTTTAAAAACTTTCTAAAAAGCCTTTTACCACATGGCTAAACACACCTTTATTTATTATTTTTTAAGAAAAGGGCATTAAAGAACTTAATCCAAACTAAATATTTAAGCAAACAGCAATTAACTAACAATGATGAATGGTAAACAGTCCTAGTCCCACGCTAGGCCGGGACTTTAAAGCCCGTTTATCTAAGCTAAAGCTGCTCAAGGGGAAAAGCAAGTTTATTGAGTAAACTTTGTCTCAGCCACCTTGCTATTAAAGCAGTCCACAAGCAGAACCTGCATCGGATATTCCGGGAGGGAAAAAAAGGAGCAAGAACATTCCAGCCCATGGCATGGGAGTCCCAATGCTGTGTGGAGCAATTATCCCTAAACAAAAGCAGGGAAAATACGAAATTATAAAGCAGCTCCTTCCCCCCCGGTGGCCGTGGGTTAAAACAGGAAGAATGAGAGACCCTTAAATTCCACCTGATGTTCCCATTTGGCCTGGGGCTCTCATTCCCACTTATCCCCTGGGAAGGAGAGAGCCTGGGCAGAGTTACCTAAGATTTTATCCACTTGGATATTTTATAATAATAATAATGATAATAATGATAATAATGATAATGATAATAATAATAATAATAATAATAATAATAATAATTGAATGCAACATAATTATGATATTATTATCATTATTAGCATGATGATAATTATCACCATTATCATCATTATAATTATTATTGTCACTATTATTTCTAGTATTCCTATTTATTATTATTCCTATTGATACTATTATAGAAATCATCATCATTATCAGCGTTATCATGATTTTAAATCATCCTCATCACTCTGGGGGGGGGGGCGGTGTGGGGGTCCCGGCCCCAGCGAGGAGCGGGGGGGGAGGACGGGAGTGGGGGGCGTGGGGGTGAGCAGGGGGCGAGCAGGGGATGAGCAGGGGGTGAGTAAGGGATGAGTAGGGGGCGAGCAGGGGATGAGCAGGGGATGAGCAGGGGATGTGCATGAGGGATGCAGGCAGAGATGCGCACAGGAGGCGCAGGGACGCAGCTGGATGTGCGCAGGATGTGCGCAGGATGTGCGCAGGGACGCAGCTGGATGTGCGCAGGATGTGCGCGGGATGTGCGCGGGGATGCAGCGGGGTGAGCGCGGGTGCGGAGGGGATCCGGGGAGATGCGGCGGGACGAGCGCGGAGATCCAGCGCGACGTGCGCGGGATGTGCGCGGGGATGGAGCGCGACGTGCGCGGGATGTGCGCGGGGATGCGGCGCGACGTGCGCGGGATGAGCGCGGAGATCCAGCGCGACGTGCGCGCCGTGTGCGCGGGGATGGAGCGGGACGTGCGCGGGATGTGCGCGGGCTGCGCTCGGGCGGTGCTCGGCCCCGATCCCCCCGCTCCGCGCCCGCGGTTCTCGCCTGGCGCAGCGTCCCCGGCCCGGTCCCGGGGGGCCGCGGCGGGATGGGCCGGGGAGGAGGCGGCGGAGCCCCCCCGGCCCTCCTGGATCCCGCGCAGAGGCGGCGGCCGCGGCACCAAGGTCACCCCGCAATTCCCAGGAGGCAGCGAAACGCCGGGAAAAGGCCCGGGGGGAGCGGGGCAGGAGTGAGGGGTCCGCTCCAGCCCCCCCCCCCAGCATTTCCCTCTTCTTCCCCATCGGAGCCGGGATGTCCCATCCCAAGGGATGACAGCGCAGTTTTTGAGAATCCGGCACAAGCAGACACGGATCTATTTCGGGATTGAAGGGGAAAAAAAAAAAGCAAGCAGCGTGAGGAGAAATAAATGTCTGGCGGTCGGGTTTAAAGTGCTGCGCGTTCCTTGCAGGGCTGCAGCCCCTGCGTGTGCCACTGCACATCTCCGGGACCACCTCCAGGACCTCCGCAGTCATGAGTGGGTTTGGTCCTCACTCCCTCGCAGGAAGTGGTGGGATAATCATTCCCCATTTAACGGCTGGGAAACTTGGCACAGCGCGCATTAAGCGATTTGCTGACAGGCACACAAGAAAATTGCGCTAGTCAAGGTTCTCCCAATTATGCCATCCTTGGAACTGCATAATTTCCCCGCGTGATTCCAGCACGGCTCAGACTCCCTGGGCAGGGCTTCTGCAGAGAGCGCGGCTCCAATCCCGCCCGTGTCCCCTCCGCGGGGCTCCTCGGGGCACAGAGCCGGGCAGGAGGCGCAGGTATAACCCGGGGGGCACACGAGGGTTCCGGGGGGGCGGGGAATTGGGGGAGAGGGGGTCTGGGGGAGCGGGGAATTGGGGGCAGAGGGGAACTGGGGGGAGAGGGGGTCTGGGGGAGCGGGGAATTGGGGGGAAAGGGGGTCTGGGGGAGCGGGGAATTGGGGGGAAAGGGGGTCTGGGGGAGCGGGGAATTGGGGGGAGAGGGGGTCTGGGGGAGCGGGGAATTGGGGGAGAGGGGAATTGGGGGGAGAGGGGGTCTGGGGGAGTGGGGAATTGGGGTCAGAGGGGGTCTGGGGGAGCGGGGAATTGGGGTCAGAGGGGGTCTGGGGGAGCGGGGAATTGGGGGAGAGGGGAATTGGGGGAGCGGGGAATTGGGGGAGAGGGGGTCTGGGGGAGCGGGAAGCGGGGGGAGAGGGGGTCTGGGGGAGCGGGGAATTGGGGGCAGAGGGGTCTGGGGGAGCGGGGAATTGGGAGGAGAGGGGGCCTGGGGGAGAGGGGAATTGGGGGAGAGGGGAATTGGGGGCAGAGGGGGTCTGGGGGAGCGGGAACCGGGGGCAGAGGGGGTCTGGGGGAGCGGGGAATTGGGGGCGCAGGGATGCGGCCCCTCGCCCTCCCTCCCCGAGCGGTTCTCCAGGCTCCCCTGCCCTCATTCCTGCCCGGCCTCCTAATCGGCGCTAAGTGGGACTGCCGATGAAGGCTGCGATAAATTTAGAAAGAAATCTTTGTGCGGGTCAGAGGAAAAACCCGGCGGGCGGGGAAGCGGCTCCCCGGTCCCGCTCCCAGCCGGGGCAGCCACGGGGCTCAGGGCTGGCCCAGACCCTGCTGGGGCTTGGGAGCCAAGGATGCCTCGGTTGAAAATAAAGATTTTAAAGTAATTTAGTGGGAAAGGAGCGGGAGGAGGCAGCGCTGCCCCGGCGCTTGACATTTCAGCCAGAGCCTCTTAAAGAGCAAGTTCGCCTTCCGCAGGATTTGTTTATAAGCAGGAGCAGGGAGGGCAGCGGCTCTTAATTCCTCTCTCAGGCTCCTGCCTGCCCTGCCTGCTCCTTCCCCATCGCTTTGCTAAATCTCTTCAATTGTTTTAAAACAACAACAACAAAATAGTGGCATTAGCGGTGTGAAATCCCCCGTGAAATCACCAACACAGCCCCACATCCCTCTCTAAAATCTGAACGTTTCAAACCGTTTTAGCATTTGCTGGTAAATTATATTGTACCAGCGCGAGGAAAGGAAAAGGATTTTCTCAATGTATTTCCTTTAATAAGCTATTAAGACCTTGTACTGCTAATTAAACTATTAATTAGGGGTATTATCATTCCTAAACACGTTAGCATGTTGCCAAAGCAGCAATAAGCCTCTGGGGCAGGCAGGAGATAAGGAAAGAAGGAAGATGCAAACATGAAGATTAAAAAAAACATGAAGAAAAAGAATCAAAAGAACCAGAAATAGCAAATAAATAACCAAGAGTCAGAAAGGTGGCGTATTCTTAATTTATAGGAATAAAAAGTAACTTGAGAACCAATTTCCTATGTGCCCTTGGGGTATCTGTGTCTTACACAGGACAAAAAGGGACGGGACTTTTCAGACCTTTGTTTTCCTGCAGTCAGAGCAGTGGAACCAGAAATGGAACCCATCTTCCCCAACACCAGAAGTTGCCATTAGAAAATTAACATAAAAACTATTCCAAAATGGTGGAGTTTTCCTTCTCCAGAAGAAAAACACAAAGAATTTTCCCCAGGAAGATTTAACTCCAAGGAATTTCTGCATCTGGCTCCACACTGACCCACAAACAGCACCCCTGGCTCATCCATCCTCATCTTTTTTAAGCTGAAAAAGAAAATTTCCAGCCTCACAGCACTTGGGATGCTCTTTGCATGCTGTGAAGGTGAAGGTGTTTCCTCCTGCCCGGTGGCTCCTTCAGGAATGAGGAGGAGACTGGGGACAGCTCTGCAGCACCCCGGGGTGCTGCTCCCACAGCCTGGGACTTTGGGACCTCTGCCCATCTCAGGGTTTGCAGCACATTAAAATGTTTTCAGACCCCAATTCCTCAGCGTTTGCCTCCCACAGTCAGTCTCAAGGGATGGATAATCTCATTTACATCTGTTACTACAAATCAAACCAGCAGCAAATTAAATGGATCTGAAGGCCAAGATTAAAGGCTCCAAACACATGGGAAGTGCCTGTGATGCAAAGAGCTGTAAATATAATTTGGTTTTTTTAAAGAGGATGATTGAAAAGCCCTACACAGATGCTGCTCTTTTACCTGGAAAGCAAAGACAGGATTATGGAAGTTTTAAGGCTGGAAAAAACCTCTAAGATCAAGTCCAACACTAATCCAGCACTGCCAGGTCCACCACCATGGTTGGAAAAGCAGGAAAAAAAAATCAAAATGAGCTTGGATCATCACGCGTTTTCAGCTGTGCGAAATGCCTTTGTGGCCAGCTGATGGTGGCTGAGGTTTGGCTCAAAGCTGCTGCTCAGAGGGACTGAGCCCAGCTGGTTCCCGGGCTGGGATTCCAGAGAAGTCCTGGCCCCACTGATGCTTCTCCAGCTTCTTCTCCATCAGCCCCTGAGGTGGGGCACAGGATGGCAGCAGAGCCCTCCCGTGCCACTGAATTCCCTGCTCAGACCAGAAATCCTGCGTGACCTTGAGGGGATGGAGCAGCAAAACTGAGGGAGCTCCCACAGAAAAAACAGAAATGCGGGACCTGACACTGAGCAAGCAGATGGGAAAGAAATGGAAGTGAAACCCAAGTTAGAAACGCCACGGTGGATTGTGGGTCTCAGATTCAGTCAAAGAAAGAAACTCAGAGTTTCTAGCCAGGCAGATACCTGAGAAAGAGCTGGAGAAGAATGTAAATAATTCTTTATCTCTCTTGTTGTTCACATTGTTTATAGTTAAGTTCTATCACTGTGTGTCAAGCACTGTACACCAATGCTATGGCTTGTTTTCACTTCAGAACCAATGGAGTTGGCCCTCACGAAGCTCTGTATAAAAGAGCAGGGTATTTTGAATAAACCAGAGTTTTACTCTCAGCAGCTTCTGAGTCAAGTCTATTCATTCCCATCCAGCGACAGTGGATATTCCCAGTTCCTGGAATTTGAGCTCCAAGTCCCGCTGCTCACATCATCCTTCTGGAATTCCGCGGCTGCGCTGAGCCCGGGGCTGGATTGCAGCACCGAGGAGCCAATTTTTGGGAGTAGCTGTGTCGCTGTCGAGGCAGGACAGGAATGAGAAGACTCTGATCAGAAGCTGCTGAGAGTAAAACTCTGATTTATTCAAAATACACTGCTCTTTTATACAGAGCTTTGTGAGGGCCACATCCATTGGTGCTGAAGTGAAAACCACCCTCAGCATTGGTGCAGAGTGCTTGGCACACAGTGATAGAGCTTAACTATAAACAGTGTGAAAAACAAGAGAGATAAAGAATTATTTACATTCTTCTCCAGCTCTTTCTCAGGCTTTTGCCCGGTTAGAAACTCTGAGTTTCTTTCTTTGACTGAACCTGAGTCCCACAATCCACCGTGGCATTTCTAACTTGGGTTTCACTTCCATTTCTGCCAGAGCAGAGCTCCCGGCTCGCAGCTGCTCTGCAGAAGAGCCACCAGCAGATCGCAGCATCGGAGCAGAAATGCGCCTCCTGCTCCGCTCCATCAGAGACAGCAAACAGAAAATAGAATTTATTTATTTTATTTTTCCCATCCCAGGATCGGCTGTTGGCCTGGCTTGTGCCAGTGCAGGGCAGGTGTGCTCTCACCTGGTTTTACTGGGGGAGGATGAAACATCCAACCGAGGGATGCAGTTAAGAGAAATGAATTAAAACTTGTTTTCCGTCAAGAATTTGGCTTCAGCAATGCACAGAGCAAGCCACCTTCGACTCACAGTAGAATTGTGAGGTAGTTCAGACAGGAAGGTGTCCCTTCGCTTCTGGGAAAAATCTTTGAAGGATTTGGGGGCTGCTTGGGCAGGCTGGAGAATGGACACAGACATGGCATCCAGTGGCAGTGCTGCATTTCTATTTCTATTTCTATTTCTATTTCTATTTCTATTTCTATTTCTATTTCTATTTCTATTTCTATTTCTATTTCTATTTCTATTTCTATTTCTATTTCTATTTCTATTTCTATTTCTATTTCTATTTCTATTTCTATTTCTATTTCTATATTTCTATTTCTGTATTTCTATTTCTATTTCTATTTTTTTGTGTTTGTATTTATAGTTACCACCTTGTATCCCCCCTGCTGTTCTTCCCCAGAGGGTGTTTTCAAGCCAATTATTTTCCTCTAGAGGGTCCCTTTCAATATGAGGCTCCCCAGGCTAAAGACTGAGCTAAAGGTTGTGTGGGAGCAGAGTGTGAGCTCACGAACCAGGCAGGAGAACTTGCACCAACCTTATGGGAAATCAGGCTGCTCCTGGAAGCTGAAATGCATTCAGACCCCCCAAAATGGCCCAAAAAGCAGCTGTGAGGCTGCAGGGGACGGTGAGAGGAGGGGCAAGGAAGGAATGCAAGGGGGCTGATAAGGAAGGAATAATAAGAAAAACCTTTTTGGCTGGGCCAGGGCTGTTT